ATGGGGGATATTTAGCAGGATATTACCAACTGGTTCAGAAGTACAGGTGCTCCTATACTTGTGATGGTGGAAAATGATTTTTTTTTTTTTTTTGAGACAGAGTCTAAGCTATGTAGCCCAGGCTGGCTTGAAACTCAGAAAAATCTTTCTGCCTCAGCCTCCAGAGTGCTGGGATTACAGGTGTGCACCACCACACCCACCAAAAATGCAGTTAATGCACCTAATCTACCAACCATTTTAGGTTAGCCTAACCTACTTTAAATGTACTCAGAGCACTTACTTTAGCCTATAGTTGAACAGGATCTAACACAAAGCTATTTTATAACAAAGTATTGAATATTTCATATTCAATAGTTATATATATTTTCTACCGAAAATAAAAATCAGAATGGTTGTGTGGGGTCTACATCATCATAAAGTCAAAAGATCATAAGTCAAGGACCACCTGTATTTCAGTACAACTGGAACCAGTTGAATACCAGCTCAATGTCAGTCTGTCCACCCTCCAGCATGGAACACCAGGGCCTCCTCTGTCTCCCTCACCCCCCATTCAGGTCCTGCCTCCTCCAGGCTGACTCTGAGCGCCTCCTGCAGCTGTGGATCAGTGCTGTGCAGAGCAGCATTGCCTCAGCCTTCAGCCAGGCTCCTCTTGATGACAGCCCCAGGGGCCCAGGCCAGGTACCTCAACTTGGGGCTACAGGACCAGACTGCCCTGGAAGATGGGGCTGCCCTTATTCAAGGCCCCCGGTCATCCTTTCTTTTTTTGTCTCCCCCAGGGCTCAGGACAGCTGGCCCTGGGCTCTGCTGCTACCCTGGGCTGTGGTGGGACACCCAGGGGAAGGGAGCCAGGGGGAGTCGGGCATGTGGCAGCCCAGGTGCAAAGTGTGGATGGCAATGCCCAGTGCTGCGACTGCCGAGAGCCAGCCCCAGAGTGGGCCAGCATCAACCTTGGTGTCACCCTCTGCATTCAGTGCTCCGGCATTCACAGGTCATTCCCCAAAGCCTTAAGCATGAACTCTGCTCCTTCTGTCTGTGGTGTGGTTCCCTGCCCGTCACACAGACCCCTCTCCTCCACCCTGCCCTGGCTTCCTCTCTCAGATTCTGGCTCTGTCACTGGGCACCAGGCTTGAGCTAAGCCTGTGGGATACAAAGTGTCCTGATCTGCCCAGGCTTTGGGGACTTCTACAGGAAGTTATTGGTTTGGTTGGAGGAAGCATGGCTAAATGCTGCTGAGAGTAGGGGAGCCAACTACAATGACAGAGAAGAGGTGATAAAGTCTTAGCAAGCCTATTGTGCTCTCAGCCTTGGTCAGTCTGGTGCAAAGAGGGAAGGGAGGTGGCATGGAAAGAACTGTCAAGACCAATGTGTCAGAAGAGAAAGGAGGGGGCAGATGAGGATGAGGGTCTCACAGTGAAACCTGGGGCAAAAAGAATGGTGAAGGGGTGGGATCCCCCTAGAACCAGGTCCGAGCTACATGGGCTAGCTGCCTGCCTTCTGGCCCAGCTCCACTGCACAGCTCCATGCAGGCCTTGCCTCAAAGTCTTTCCAGGAGCAGTAGCAGCCTCCCTAGGCCACTACCCACAGAAGGCATGCATGACTCCTGCTCTGGCCCTCCAGGAGCCTGGGTGTTCATTTCTCCAAAGTCCGGTCCCTGACCCTTGATTCTTGGGAGCCAGAACTAGTGAAGGTAATGTGGAGGTACTATGAAGACTTCGGGTGGGGTCAAAGGACTGAGGAGCCCTTAGGGTACAGATACTGTACATCCCCTGCCTTTCTCTGTCTCTGCCTGGGCCTCTTCTAGCTTATGTGTGAACTGGGAAACGTGGTCATCAACCAGATCTATGAGGCCCGTGTGGAGGCCATGGCAGTGAAGAAGCCAGGACCCAGCTGTTCCCGGTGAGGTTAGGGTGGAGGTATCCGGGGCTCTCCTCCAGGAGGGACCTGAGATGGCAAAAGGGAAGAGTTGTCTCCTTGTCCCTTCTCCAGGCAGGAAAAGGAGGCCTGGATTCATGCCAAATACGTGGAGAAGAAGTTTCTGACCAAACTTCCTGAGATTCGAGGGCAAAGAGGTGGCAGGGGGCTCCCGAGAGGGCAGCCTCCTGTACCCCCAAAGCCTTTCATCAAGCCCCGGCCAGGGAGCATCAGATCCAAGCCAGGTATAGGGTTGCTTGGGTCTTCAGTAAGTGCCTGCTGTGTGCTCAGCACTGTGCTAGGCCCTGTAGGGAGCCAGACTGTGAGTCCTAGGCCTTCCCCTTGGGAATGTTGGAGGGACCAGACTACAGTTTCAGGGGGATATGATGGCACTAAGCATGGGAAGGAGCATCGGGTGAGGAAGTGTGCAGGGTGGAGTACATAAGGATGCATGAGAAGAGGCAGGAGTGGGGAAGTTTGGGATCTCAAGGCCTGGGAAGGAGGGTGTGACCTTGGCTGGAGGTGCGAGAGGTTGTCAAGGAGTCAGCTCACCTGTGACATCCAGCCAGTCAGAGTATTTCGACAGAATGGGGTGTATAATGCTGTCTGTCCTCCACACCCCACACACGTACATGCTCACACGTACACCACTCCATCTTTCACCACAGTAATGAGTCATGAAGGTTTCCCACAATTTAGTAGTAACCTATCCTATAGCAGCGTCAGGGGACTGTGCTGAGGGTTTTCCTCCCAAACTCAGCACTAATTCTGCCTAATAGTACCAAATCCCCATAACAGAACCCCCTTCTGATGACCTGGGGAGTCTGCATCCTGGGGCCCTACTGTTTCGAGCTGCTGGACATCCTCCGTCCCTTCCTACCATGGCCGATGCCCTTGCCCATGGAGCTGATGTCAACTGGGTCAATGGGGGTCAGGAGAATGCCACACCGCTGATCCAGGCCACAGCCGCTGTGAGAATTATGCTGACCTGCCCATCCTACCCAAAGGCTCCTGCTGACTCTTCCTGACTTTGGATCCAGCCCTTCCCTCCCTCTCCTCCCACTGCTCTTTGGGATCCAACTCCATGGGAAAATGAGCAATATAGACTGGTTGCTAAGGATATGATTTTTGGAAGCAGAAATCTGAGTTTGAACCCAGGTTCTTTTCACTTAGAAGGAGACTTCTGAACAAGTTATTAATGTCTCCCTGCCTCAGCCTTCTCCTCTGTAAAATAGGGGTAGCATACCTCATAAAGTTGTACTATGGATTTAATATACGAATACTTGTGAAGAGCAAGAGTCAAGCTGGTCACAGTGGCATTGGCCTATACAATCCTAGCTACTTGAGAGGCTGTCTAGAGGATTGTGAGTTTAAGGCCAGCCTGTGCAACATGGCATGACCACGTTCAAAAAAAGGACCAGAGCCAAGTCTGACACTCAGCTGTACCCTCTTAACTCCTAATTTCTAGGCCCCACTTTCCCATGCCCTGAAAAGACTCCACCCTAGAACATCTTGAAATTCTTTTCTAAAGATGTCACGCCCAATTCCCCTTCTTGACTTCTCCTTGCAGAATTCTCTTCTGGCTTGTGAGTTTCTTCTCCAGAACGGGGCAAATGTGAACCAAGCAGACAGTGCAGGCCGGGGCCCACTCCACCATGCAACAATTCTTGGCCATACTGGGTAGGGGCAGCAGGGATGAAGAGCATGGTGGGGCATGGGCGGGGGCTCCAGACGGAGTTAAGTCTGGGAAGGTACCCTGAACATGGTTTCCCTCTCCAGGCTCGCCTGCCTGTTCCTGAAACGGGGGGCCGATCTGGGAGCCCGAGACTCTGAAGGCAGAGACCCTCTGACTATCGCCATGGAAACAGCCAACGCTGACATCGTCACCCTGTGAGAATTCTTGAAGGGTGTGGCTGGCGCTTGGACTAGCCTTTCAGGATGGGGCTTATGCCCAGTGTGCCTACTGGTGGGGCCTAGAGAGGGGCAGGGCCAAAGTCCGGACCAGGCAGAGGACCACACTCTCAGTGTGGATTGGTGGGTGGAGCAGGAAGGGTGGCAGGCAGGGTCGAGGATGGGTGCTCATCCTAAGAGTGGAATTCTGACTTCTTGCTGACAAGCATCTTTTAAAGACTACACACAGGGGACAATGGTGAATGAAACACAAAGGATGGGGAGTAAAGTTGGGGGTGGGGGGAAAGAATGTCATTTATTCCTTAATTCTCCCCTTCAGGCTACGATTGGCAAAGATGAGGGAGGCTGAAGCGGCCCAGGGTCAGGCAGGTAAAGTATTCAGCCATCCCACTTCCCCAGGCCCAATACCGAAATTCTGGGCTTTAGGCCCTTGGTGAAAGTCCCTCTCTTGCCCAACTGCCTTAATTTATATCTGATCTGACGGGCCAGGCCCTTGGAACAAAGAATATCTCTGGGCTTACGAGTTCCTCGTCCATCCACGCTGCCCCTGCCAGGCTCCCCGCATGTGCTTCCGCGCTAGGACTCAGCTGTTCGGCCTCAGCCTTTCCTCCCTCCCCTTCAGGAGATGAGACCTATCTCGACATCTTCCGAGACTTCTCCCTCATGGCGTCGGATGACCCGGAGAAGCTGAGCCGGCGTAGTCAAGACCTCCACACGCTTTGATCCCAGGCCCTGGGGGTCCCCTGCACACCAGCCCCTCCTCTCCCCTTCGCCATTAAAGCCTGTTTTGCTTTTCCCTTCGTAATTCACTTTATTGCCACCTTCGGGCCCGGCAGGGTGTTGGGCGCTGTGGCTTCCGGGATCCAGGCAGTGGTGGGGAGTTTTCGAGCTCCAGTCCTCAGGAGGCGACTCCCCGGGGAGCGCTGAGGCTGAGTGGGCCCAGGCTCCGGGAGGCTGGAGGAGGGCTCTCAGATTCGGGCGACGAGGCCAGACCAGTCCAACCCGGCAGAGGCCCCCGCACGGGGCGGGGCAGCCTTTCCTCAGGGGACCTGGCGCTGAGCCGGGAAGGAGAGCTCCGGGCCACCCCGGCGGAGAGGTATCCCCGGAATGCAGTGACTCAGCAGCCGCCCCCTCGGGAATTCCCCGCGGGAGCCACTGGGAAGGAACTGGTCCCCTGGTCAGCGACGGCGGCGGCCTTGATTTTCCCGGAGTGGCAGAATTAGGTTGCAGACGTGAGGTCTGGCACACCTGAAGGATCGCGGGGCCGTCGTGGCCACATCCGGGAAGACGCGCATGAGTCACGCACTCCCGCTCCCATCTGCTCGTCCATCCAGTCCGCCCCGTCCCTCCAGTGGGCGACTCCCAGCTCCCACCTCCACCGGCCGCGCGAGCCCCACGGGGCCGGGGCGGGGCGCCAAGGGGCGGGACTGCCCCTTAAAGGGCCCCGGCCGCTGCCAGTTGGACATTTCCTGGGGGCGGAGAGGACTTCTGCGCGCTGCGGCGACATCCAGGGAAGGCAGCGAGTTCCGAGTTCCCAGACTCCTGGCTGCTTACATCAGAGCCCTGGGACACTCCCAGCTCAGGTTGAGTGGGCTTCGTCGCCTCGCAGCAGATACAGCGCGGCTAGTCATTCGCTCCCATCAGCTCCGTGTCCGTTTCCCGGGTCGGGTGCCGGGAGGCTGGCCAGACTTCTCGCTGGTCCCTAGAGCCCTGTGTGGGCTCCCCTACGGTGACAGCCGTCTGCCTAGAAACTCGGAAGCTGGGCCCCTCAGAGTCGGGCCTCTGCTCACCACCGTCACCTGCTGGTTGAATTCCAGAATCCCACTGTCTGAAGACCACAGAAAGGGAACCGCTGACCACCCAGAATTGGACAAGTTTGGACGGAAAGCTCCCTTCCCCTCTCTGGCTGCCCTCTGCTCTTTTCATCTGTTCTTTCAACCTTTCGGGGATTTCTGTGTCCTGAATTCCCACCCTACCACCAAAATACGTGGGGTGAGCTACAAACTTTGCTAACTTGTACTCCAACCTGTGCCTCCAACTCAGCAAGTCTGAACGGTAGCACCCAATCTTGCGTATACCCAGGAAGTTCTGCCTTTCCTTCTCCTTCCTTGTTTCCTGTACTCCCCAAAATTTCCCCTCCTCCAGTGCCCTCCTCGCCCCCCTCCTTTGGGGGCCCCGTGACCCTGAATGTGGGGGGCACACTATATTCTACCACTTTGGAGACCCTAACCCGCTTCCCAGACTCCATGCTGGGGGCCATGTTTAGGGCTGGCACCCCCATGTCTGCCAATGGCAACCCCCAAGGAGGTGGCCAGTACTTCATCGACCGGGATGGCAAGGCCTTCCGGCACATCCTTAATTTCCTGCGACTAGGCAGACTGGACCTGCCCCTTGGGTATGGAGAGACAGCGCTTCTCAGGGCAGAAGCTGACTTCTACCAGATCCAGCCTCTCCTGGATGCCCTGAGAGAACTGGAGGCCTCTCGAGGGACACCTGAACCCACAGCTGCCCTGCTTCATGCAGATGTAGACGTCAGCCCCCGCCTGGTGCACTTCTCTGCTCGAAGGGGCCCACACCACTATGAGTTAAGCTCTGTCCAGGTGGACACCTTTCGAGCCAACCTCTTCTGCACTGACCCGGAGTGCCTAGCTGCCATGCAGGCCCGATTTGGTGTGGCCAATGGGGACAGGGCAGAGGGGGGCCCACATTTTCACTTGGAGTGGGCCCCCCGCCCCACAGAACTCCCTGAGGTGGAGTATGAGAGACTAGGGCTGCAGCCGTTGTGGACTGGAGGGCCAGGAGAGGGGCGCCAGGTGGTGGGAATGCCGAGCTTCCTGGAGGAGGTTGTTCGGGTGGCTCTGGAGCATGGCTTCCGCCTGGACTCTGTCTTCCCTGACCCTGAAGACCTGCTCAACTCTCGATCTCTACGCTTTGTACGACATTGAGGATGTGACTCTCAGTTTGCTTGTGGGGAAGAGAGGGAATGGGGCAGCTAGAGGGAGTAAAGACTCCCCTGAAGCCTCTTTCTAGCTCTAGTGTGGGAGCTGTGAGGGTCAGGGGTCTTACTGCACCTGACCTGAGCCCAGATATGGGCTGGAATTCTAGAACCTGAGCTCACTGAGGGCTCACAAGTGATCCAGAGGGTCTGGACTGGTGCTTATTCTGGGGTGGGGCACGGCAGTGAAGATTCTCTTGGTTTGTTCTTGCTTGAGGCTTCCGGTGTCTCTGTTGAAGCTCAGTGTTCAGGGATCTAGAAAAATGGAAAACACATCTCTGCCTAGCCTTGACCTGGCAGAAGCCTGGAGGGACACTGAGGTCTGGGGGGGAAAAGGATACTTTGGATTGCCTTAATGTGGGGTCTCCTGGACTGTGGCCTTCCCTCCTGGTCCTGGGTGGCCTGGTATGGCCAAAGAGAGGCCAGAACACTATGGGACACAGGAAGGAAGGTTCTTTGGTATGTTTCAAGCCACCTACTGAGGGGGACAGAAAGGCCTCCATAAGTTGACGTATAGGAGGTAGGAGCAAGGACACTGGAGTTCCCCTCTGGAATTACAAATGTTTTAAACAATCCTATTTTGAAGGTGGGTCTGGCCACAGGGAGAAGTTAGTATCTTTTTTGTGGCTTTCATGTGTGTGTTCGTGTCAGCCAGTGTGTCTGACGAATGCATGGGTCTCTGGGATCCAGGTTTCCATCTGTGTTGCTGACTACAGTGTTTATGTGATGGTCCTTCTGTGGTCCCTGCATGTCTAGGCATGTTTGGCGTTACACAGCAACGGTTCTGGCCCAGGTTTATCTGTGGTACAAGTGTGAGTAGATTGAGATTTAGTTTAATCATAGGGTGTGTATGTGTGTGCATGTGTGTTTATGTGCCTGTAATCGCCATGTAGGCAGGAGAGGCTTATTTGCATTTGAGTCACTAGGATCTTCCTGTGAGAGGTAAAAGAAGTCACTGGGCCTTGCTGGGCCCCTGAGACTTGTAGGGAGTGCTTAGTTGCCTCAGCAACCATGGGCCTGTTGCTAGGAGATAGCTGGGGGAAGGCCCAAGGCTGCCCTGGGCAGACAGAAGAGATGAAGAGTTTGGGAGAGTGGGGGAGGATATAGGAATGGATGGAATCTCAGTTCCTGAGTGGACAGGATACACATGCATAATTTCTTCACTGAGGGAATTGTTCATTTTTTTATCACTGATAATTACAAAAAGAACAATAAAAGTGCTTTTTTGAACCACAGACTTGTATAGACCACTATCCCCCTTGCAACAGAGACTCTGCTTTCTCTATCTCCTACTAGAGATGTTCTCTTCTGGCCCCTGTAAGTTCCTTGGGCCCCAGCTCTACCCCAGCCTTGGATGGAGCGGTGGCATTGTTCTGGAACTCTCCAGAAATTCCAACTGTTCCAGAACACTCAAGAACCTCTTAGGCAAAAGGCTGGAACCTGATCACACAGCACTCTGAGGTCTTTCTAGCCCAGCTTGGGACAGTTCCCACTCTGTCCTCAGCAGGCTTCATGTGGATGCTGGCACTAGGTGGGGTTTTCCTGGCACCCGCCCAGGCCTGTATCTTTTGTCGCCTCCCAGCCCATGACTTGTCAGGCCGTCTCGCTCAGCTCACCAGCCAGATGGAGGCCCAGTGGAAGGAATGGGCCTCCCCAGACTTTTCAGCCTTTGCCTTAGGTAAGACCAGGAAAGGGTCCAGCAGTAGTCACCTCCATTCCCCAAGAGGAGAGGCACATGACTGACTTTCCAGCTGTGCCCCTCAGCAGTCACCTCAGTCCACAGCCCTCTGAACACACTGGCCTCTCTCCCTCTGGGGGAACTCTGGATCTCAGAAAGTAAGACAGAGCCCAGAACCTCCTTCTCCACTGGTGAAGGAATTGCTATCCTTGCCATCTCCACAGATGAGGTGACAATGAACAAAGTCACAGAGAAGACTCACAGAGTCCTGAGGGTCATGGGTGAGGTCAAAGGGAAGGTGAAACCTAAGGGTTTGGGGGGACACCAGGAAGGGGGATGGGAGGCAGGGAAGAGCAATGGGCAGGGGGATTGGATTGGAGGGCTGATCACGGAAGGGGCTGGAGGAAGGGATGGGGGTGATCTGGCCCTGTTGAGGCCCAGAGAAATAAAAACTGGATTCTGCCTCCCAGAGATCAAAGGGTCCATTTCCTCCCTCCCTTCATACTGGCAATGGCTGTTAAAGACCAAGATCCCTCAGTACATCAGGGAAGGTATGGTTTTCAGAGGGAGATCAGGTGTGATTAGGATCTTGGGCAAACTAGCTCACCACCTCCATTCCCTCCTTGTCTTTCATTTCAGCTCTCTGTGCCCCCACCTGCAGTGAGTAGAAAAAGAAAAGGGTAGCAAGAATGTGGGGCTTGGGAGGGGGGAGGCTAGAAGAGGGTGGAAGCCTTGGTTTCCCCGGCCAGCGCTGCTCCTGCTGTCTCCTGCAGGGGGCAGCACTACTCTGTACAACTGCTCCACTTGTGAGGGCACCAAGGCCTCCTGTTGGCCCAGAAAACGCTGCCTCCCAGGTGCTTACTCCCCACCTCGGCCCCGCTCCGCCCAGATCCCTGAGCCTTTCGCTCCGAACCTTCGGGCGTGGTCCCCAGGTTCATCCATGGCCTTCTGGGTTCCCTGCAGGAAGTCACGATCTGTGGGAAGCCAGGATCCTGCTCTTATCTGTCTTCGGAGCTGTCCTGCTACTGGGTGCTCTGAGCCTCCTGGTGGAGTGAGTTTCGGAATGGAGGGCAGGAAATCGCCTTTCTGTTTCCTGCCCTACCCAGTACTCTCCAATGCCACCCTCTGCCCTTTCTCCCAGCCCCCCTCCTTGGCTTTAGCTGGACTCCCGTTCTCTCTTCCCTCAGAAACCATCACCTCCAAGTAAAAGGTGACTTGTGAAGATGCTGACAACCTCCCCACCTCCAGCTCTGAGGAATGTGTACCCACAATTTCCACATCCTTTGGGGGAATCAGCCATTCCTTAATACCAGCTCCAAAGACTCAATCTTCCAGACCCTACAACCTAGATGTCCCAAGACCAATTCCAGCATCAGATGGCCTCCAAAAACCTGGGTATCCACATCTGGAAAGTTCCTCCCCCACTGGCCCTTGACCAATCTGACGGGGCAGTGGGCCACGCCAGGAAATTATCTACAGAAGGAAAGAATCCCCTGCACGCACCAACCCCCATCCCACACCCACTCTGCCCATTCCCGGAAAGCAGGGCCTGTCTACCCCAGAATCGCCTCTGGGCCCTCCCATGACTGATTGGGAATCCGGGAATAAGAGTTCTGGAAAACTCTCTCCTTCTGGAGTGAGCCCACAACAGTCAGCCCACTGGCACGCTGTCTGTCCATTGTGTTAACACTGTGCAGCCCTGGCTTCCTACAGAGGCCTCCCTCCTGCTGGACCCAAGTAAAACTGCTCTTCAATGCTTGCCACCTCTGCTTGGCTTCTGCACTGGAGAGGGCAGAGAGGGTACTGGAGGCTCTCAGTGTGGTGCAGGGATTTGAACTGGGGTGATTTAGCACCCTGGTAGACATTTAGCAATGTCTGGAAACATTTTGTATTGTTTTGATTGGGAGGCTGTACTACTGGCATTTAGTGAGTAGAGAAAAGGGGATGCTTTAACATTCTACAACCCACAGAAAGTCCTCACAACAAAAAATTAATCTGCCTAAACCAGGCGTGGTGGCACACTTGTAATCCCAGCACTTGGGAGGCTGAGACAGGAGGATTGCCATGAGTTCAAGGCCAGTCTAGGTTACATAGTGAGTTCAAGGCCAATTTAACTATATAGCAAGACTCTGTCTTGAAAAGGAAAAAAAAAATTAACCTGCCCAAATGTCAATAGTTCATAGTTGAGAAACCCTGGTGTTGGTCCTCTGTACATCAAGGGTTCTTGGTTTGTGAGACTGGAGATGGAACATGAAAAGAGAGGTTTGTCCTCAACCACAAGTCTCAGTTCAAGCACCTGGCACTCACCTAGCCTAGAAATTGTAAAACTAGGTACCTGGAGGCTTCCAGACAAGTGTTCTCAATCAGCTGCACATTGGAGTCTCCTAGGCGGCTTTAAAACTACTCATGCTTGGGCCCCACCTCCAGAATCAGAACCAAGTGGTCTTGGATAGTGTTACCTGCAACAGAACCACTGTCTTCGGGGTGTGCATAAAGTCCTGTGGATGGAGAAATCACCTTGTACCTTCCCATGAGATGACCTTCCTTTCTGTTTTACACATGCTCGCCCGATCCATTTTACATATGACATATAAGACCAGATCACACAAGATTGTACAACTCATTTATTCATTTAATTGACAAATAATGAGGCATCGTCCCTGCCCAACACAGGATGAAAAGGCTTACTTCCTGATTGCCCAGGCAGCACAGCTCCTGTGAACTGCAGCAGCTGCTTTGTGACCTCCCATGCTGTCCCCTTTCTGGGCTCAGCATTTTGGTACCAGGGAATGAACTCTGGACCTTGCGTTTTTGAGGCAGACGGCAGCTCCACTGAGCTAAATCCCTGGCCCTGGGCTCAGCACTTTGAAATTGTTCTGATTTTCATACCCACATTCAGTTAGACCGACAGTCCTTGAAGGACCTCTGTCTTTTTCCTCTGCCCTTGGTCCCCAACCCATCCTGAACCCCTTTCACAGTGGATTCCTGTCCCCCAGATGCACCACCTGACCCCATGTGCTCCCTTCAAATACATGTCCCCCCTAGCAGCCACACTGGTCCTCCAAAAACTCCACACAGTATACAACCTCCTGCCTAGGATCATGTAACAACTAAGAATTTGGGCTTTGGAATTGAGGTGTTTGGTTTCAAATCCTGGCTGTCTCTTACTGGACCTTGTGTAACTTAATCTCTCTGAGCAAGTTTTCTTACTTATTTCTTTGTTGTGCTGGGGATCAAACTCAGAGTTTTGTAAGCAAGCACTCTACTACTGAGCTACAGAGCCTCAGCTCCAGTGTAACTGCTCCACCTCCCACCTCGGCATTGGAAATGGAACCCAAGTTCTTGTGTATGTTAGGCAAGCACTCTACAGTACCACTGAGCTACATTTCAACCTTTTTTTTTTTCCAACTTTTTTTTTTGCTTTTATTTTGAGATAGGATCTTGCAAAGTTGCTCAGATTGGGCTTGAGATTACCATCCTTCTGCCTCAGCCTCACAATTAACTGCAATTAACAAGGGTATACCACGATGCCTAGTCTGTTCTTTCATGTGCAGAAAATATACTACTTTGATCTTATGGCCTTTTTCTGCATTCTTTTTTTTCTTGTAGTTTTTTGTTTTGTTTTGGTTTTTGGTGTGTGTGTGTGTGTGTGTGTGTGTGTGTGTGTGTGTGTGTGTGTTGAGGCAGGGTTTCACTATGTAGTTCAGTCTGACCTTGAATTCACTATGTAGCCCAGATTGGCCTCCAACACATGGCAACCCTCCTGCCTCAGCCTCTCGAGTTCTGGGATTACAGGTGAGCATCACCATGCCTAGTTTCTCTTAGGTTTTTTTTGTTTCCTTTTTTGGTGCTGGGGATTGAACTCAGGACCTTGTGGTTTCGAGGCAGGCGCAGCACCACTGAGCTAAAACCTGGGCCCCTCTCAGTTTTTTAGACAGAGTCTCACTATGTAGCTCAGGCTGGCCTTGAACTCATGGCAATCCTCCTGCCTGAGCCTCCCAAGTGCTGGGATTGTGGGTGTGTGCCACCATGCCTGGCTTTTTTTGCATTTTAAATCAACTTTTTTCTTTTTTTTTTTTTGGTACTGGGGATCAAACTTTGGTCCTTGCACTTTCCAGGCAGGTGGCATAACCACTGAGCTAAATCCCTGGCCCTGTCCTTTTGCATTTTAATATCTTTAAAATCAGAATGCATTTTAAATTGAAAGTATGACATAACTTAATTGGTGAATATTTTTTTTCTTTGCAATACACAGAATAATGGTATGTCCTGCAAATGATATCCTAAATCAATGAAATGTAGTAGTATTTGGCTTACACAATTGTTGTAAAGTCCAAATAAATTCATATAAAATGCTTGGAAAAAATGTTTGGGACTGGGCATGACATAAAATGGGAGTTCATTAAGTATTAGGCATCATCTCTTTCTTGAAGACCCTCCCCACCTCCTCCTTGCGTACAGAATGTAGACCTGGTGTCCTTTACCCTGACATTCAAGGCTATCAGCAGCTTGCATGTGTTTTATCTGCACCTCAGGCTAGAGCTGAACAAACACAGATCTAACTGGAACTCCACTCGAATGCCCACGGGCATCTCAGACTTCATGTGTCCAAACATCCCTCCCTCCCCGACTGCACGGCTCCTGTGATTGCTCTCAAGCTACAAGGCAGTGCCAACTGCACTACACACATCCTCTTCTTTTCTCTTCCTTTCTCTTCTCTTCTACAAGCTCACTTCTCATCAGTGTCCAAGTGTTCTGCCTTTGTCATTCTTCTTGGAATCTGGTTCCCATGTGTCCCTAGAACATTCTCTCTCAGTATTGTTCATCTTGTCCCACCTCTACAGCCACACTGAGTCACTAGAGATGTTTCTCTTTGCCTTTGTCCAGGCTTGTCCCTACACCCTTCTGATTCAGCTCAGACATTAGCTCTTCTGCAAAGCAACTTCTGAGCCCCTGGAGCAGGATAGTGTCCCTTCTCCATGCAAGTCTCAGCAGTGGCACTTGTTACATCAAAGTGGTGTTGTTTCTTTGCCATCCTCCCTCTAGGCAACACAGTGCCCTAGGAAACCACTGCCCAATGGTTTGTGATCTTTGTTTCCACTGTGCCTGGTACATGTAGACACCAGGACACATGGCCCCGGGGATGCACTCTCTTCTAGTACGGTGGTCTTCAGCAGGTGGCATTTGTGTTTCTTTTCCATTTTTTCTTTTTAGTTTTATGGGGGTTTTTGGTTTTGTTTTTTGTTTTTTGGGGTGTTTTTTTTTGGTACTGGGGATGAACTCAGAACCTCGCACTTTCGAGGCAGGCAGCAGCACCACTGAGCTAAATCCCTGGCTTTCCATTTTTTCTTTTTGTGGTGCAGGGGATCAAATCTAGGCCTTCATGCATACTGGGCAAGCACTCTACCACTGGGCTACACTCCCATTTCTGTGTTTCTATTCTGTGCACATAAAATCAACTCACTGGAGACGGGTGTGGTGGCTCACACCTGTAATCCCAGCACTGAGGCAGCAGAATTACTGTGAGTTGGAGGCCAGCCTGGGCTACATAGTGAATTCAAGGCCAACCTGAACTACAGAGTAAGAGCCTGTCTCAAAAAAAAAAAAAAAATCCACTGGAGAATGGCCTGCTGAGGCAGAACTGGCTTTTCTGAGCCCTTCACCAAACAGAGGAGGCTGTTGTGGGTGTGGCAGTTTTAAAAGAAGGCCCCCAAATTCTTTGACATCCTCTCACGGCAAAGCAGGGTCCATGTATCCTTTCTGTAAATCTGGGCTCTGTAATAGGTTTCCCAATAAAACATTACAGAGATGATACTAGCCGCTCTCTCGGCCCATGCCTGAAGGAACTGGCTCGCACCTTCTACTCTAACCCCTGGGATACTCATTCCAGAACCTAGTCACCATCTACAAGAGGCTCAGCTTCAGGGCTGAGAATTTAGCTCAGTGGCACAGCACCTGCCTCGAAAGCACAAGGTCCTGAGTTCGATCCCCGGTTCTGCAAACAAACAAACAAAAAAGAGGCCCAGCTTCAGAAAGAGTAGACATGGAAAGGTTCCAGACAGAGGCCAGGGCCCACTCCCAGACACATGAGTGATACTCCCCCCACAACTGAAGGCAACTGAAGGTAACCACAACTGAAAGTAATCCCCAGACCTTCAATTTCCAAATAAGACCCCAGATGTCACAGAGCACTGACAAACCATCCCCACTGTGCTATCGGAATTCCTGGCTCGCAAACTCCAGGTGTGTAGTGAAATTGTTTTATGGCACTAGGTGTGATTCCCTTAATGATAGGGAACAGGAACAGTGGGGAAGAAAAGGGACCCTAGGACTTGCCATGAAATGTCCAGAGCTCATGACATGGCAGCATTGTCACTTTCTAGCTGTGTATACTAGGGATGCCACTTCACTAGCCTGAGTTTCAGTCCTTCTGCCTGTAAAATAGAGTTAAGGATGGTTTGCTTATATGGAGACAATGTGTCAGACACCACTTGAAGCATTTTGTGTGCTTTATTATCTATAGCTAATCTTCTAAACTCAACAATTCTTTTAATCTTGCAACAAGAAGCATTCTCTTGCAGTTTATATGGAACAAAAATTCAAGAGCAAACTACAGTTACATAAGACTAAATTCTACTGTTCTATAATCAGTAGGACTGGCAGTGGTGGCACACACCTGTAATCCCAGCACTTAGGAGGCTGAGGCAGGAGAATTGCCATGAGTTCAAGGCCAGCCTGGGCTACATAGTGAGTTCAAGTCCAGCCTGGACTACATAGCAAGACCTTGTCTCAAAAAATCCCAAAATATGGGCTGGAGATTTAGCTCAGTGGCACAGTGCCTGCCTGGCAAGTGCAAAGTCCTGAGTTCGATATCTGGTACCCCCCCCACACACACAAAAACCCAAAATAAATAGTCAGTAGGGTAACTATAGTTCACAACAATTTGTTATATATTTTACGAAGAACCGGAATAAAAGAGTTTAAAACTTCCCAACACAGGGCCGGGGATTTAGCTCAGTGTTTCCGCTGCCTGCCTCGCAAGTGCAAGGTCCCAAGTTTGATCCCCGGCACACACA